TTATTTGACTCCTTTAGCATACGGTCTAATTATTCAAGTTTTTGTGGTACTACTATGTAACCAATATTTGGAATATGTATAATATCATATATCATTATTCTTTAAGTATTTCAAAGAATACATATATAACAATACTAATAAGTGAGCTACATAGGTATAAGAGTGTCAGTCATATTAGGATAAATATTAGGAAACAATATAACTTTTGATATTTTCAGATGAGATTTCTCAAGTAAAGTTTATATTTTTCTTAGACCAAGTATTATGAATAAAAAGTAAGATTATGACTCATAAGTCAGTTAAGTTCAATCCAACACTCTCAGTATTTAATCCCTTTATTGTATATAAATTAAAAGATGTTTTAGATACTCTCTTAGCTAATAATATTACCATTATCCTAATCCCTGGTGATTGTAACTCATTAGCGTAATCATTATATATTGTGTGTGGACAAAATTAACCGCAATTCAACAGAGGAAAATCTTTAGCGATAACAACCACACTTACCCACCAATCCACTATTATGAAAACCAAAAAAAAAATTAAAAGATGTAAATACATAGTAGAAATTAATATTTGGTATACCATCCATCAGCCTTAATAATTGCCTCTATTCTATCTATTATTGATCCAGCTAAAGTATCAAAAACCTTTGGGTCAAGAAGTTCTCAACAATGAGTGATGGCCTCTACTATTGCCTTCTTGACCACATTGACATCACCCTTCATAAGATATAGCTCAGGGTAGTGCTTATGAAGCTTACCTTTCACCAGAGACCAAATATTTTCAATTGGATTAAGATCTGGTGAATAGGCAGGAATTTCTATCAGTGTAATTCCCTGCCCTCTGAGCTATCTCCTAAAGTGCAAGTGAGTCTTAGCATTGTCAATGATAAAAAATACCTCTTCTTCTCCAGCCATTTCTCTGATATTCTCCCATATTGCTAGAAAGTTATAATAATCATAAATATCAATAATTGACTTCCCAGTAACTCCACCCCTACCAGAAGTAGAATCAGGAAAAACAGGTAAAGAAAGACCATGAGTTTGACTATAAAAACAACCAGTTATCATCTGGCTAATCCCTCTCTCCCCTCTCCTAGTCTTAGGTTCAACACAATTCTTATTCTATTTCACATATGTGTATCTGAAAACCCATTTTCTCCTCTTTCCTTCTCCTCTTTCCACAGCTACCTCATCCCCCCCACATTTCCTTCCTTCTCCACATCACCTTTGTCTAATACCTATAAGCTAATGCCCATTCCAACTTCTCTTGAGCTAGATCCTCATCTAAATGAACTCTCTCTTGTGCTATCCACTTTCTAAGATGCTTTTTTTCAAGTCTTCTCCTTACTGTCCTACTAGAAATATTAGAAGCAACTTGCTCAGCAATGTCAGAATAGGTAGTATGGTGATTTTTAAGAGCTTCCTCCACCATATCATCATCCTGTGACTGGGTAGTTTTAGGATATCTTCCTCTACCCATATTCTCCTGGCCCTCTTGATATCTCTTTACAATTGTGTTTCTGACTGTAGTGTAGGGGATATTAAGGTAGTGGGAAATTTGCTAATATCTTATCTGAGGTTCGTGTAATCCAAGAATCCTCTCCCTGGTAAACTCAGAGAGATGTGTAAAGAGAATATGTTTTTTGGTATGACTGCGAAGAATAGGAGGCATAGTTTATTGAAAAAAAGAATTGAGCAGAATGGTTTCTTCTTGGTTGACTTAGAGCAATTTTTTTAGGTACTGTTGAGAGTATGGAGTGATGAAGAGGGGTGGGTTGCCACCAATTGTTGAATCGCAGTTAATTTTGTCAATTCACAATACTAGTATAAACTGTTCCTTTAAAGATGTATATTAAAGGTAGAAAAGATCTTACCTTTCCTCTGTCACAATTTCAAAGAAATGAAAAAGAAAAGGAGAAAAACAAAGAACCAGTAGAGTCAATACATTCATAGTAGGTTGTAGAAGAGAAGTTAGAAAATATTAAAGTTGAAGAAAAAGTAATTCTTGCTTCAGGGGAACAGCTAAGGGGTAACATAGTTAGAAGGTAGAGAACTTTTACTACTTGAGTAGTAAGTGAAGTCTGAGAGATCTTTACCTGAAAGTAGATTGAGATTATTAAAAAATATTTTCATATACTTGGATTAGCTTTGCTAATTGATGGTACATATGACCAGGAAATTAGTATTAAAGGAGTAGATAGCACATACCTTCAAGAGGGTACAAAGTGGAAACAGGGAGTAAAGTATACCGCCAGTGATTGAATTTTAATAATGATCCTGGGAAGTTAGCAGAGGTTGACAATTAATCAGAAAAATGTGCACTTTGAAGAATAATATTAGGGGAAATCTGAAACCCCATTTAACCCAGAACCCCTGCATGATTAGCCATATTAATTTCACCCTCTTATGGGAAACCGAATTAATTCTGTTTTCCCGGGAAAAAGAAAGAAGGGTAGAACGGTGAATTTGTAACGAACCATAACCCCC